CCCTCAAACCCCCCTCAACCCCCCTTGTCCTTCCCCCAAAAAACGCGAGAAAAATGTGGCAGCGACAACCACATAAGGGGTCCTTTTGTAAAGGGGGTGGGGGCCTTACACAATATCCCCCATACCCTCATGTCCCCATCTCCCCCCTATCCCTCATATCCCCCCTATCATACATTACAGCAGAGATATTGATATTGAATCCTCCCATAACACAGCTAAGCCCCCCCACCTAGGACTTTACCGCCATTACAATAAGTTCTACTTCGTAGAAACCTTCCCTGGGATTCTTCATCTCCACAGCTGGCGATGAAAAGAAACGTGGCACTGGCACATATATATCGCAGTGCCTCGTAGATACCTACCTTCCTTCCTTCCTTCCTTCCTTCCTTCTTTTGAAGAAGTTGTGTAAATATTCGATTTTAAATAAAGAATAATAATAAATTATCTGGGAGGTGTTTTATATTTTTTGATTTGGAGGGTGGTACTGTATGTAGGAGTTTGAAGTGCATCCGCAACCGCCTCATATTAATGGTATGTATCAGGCAAGCAAGCACCGAAAACTTGAAAAGGGTTAAAATAGAGGGCGCTAAGAATAGGAGATGGATAATAAAAAATATGATACCCCCTACTCAGATCCCTAGTCCCTAGTCCTACAGTAGTCCTAGACGAAAAATCGCATACGCACTGAACCACTGGCGTACTAAATACTGTAACTCAGGGATATCTATATTGAACTCAAGTTACTCAACTGAAGAACGTAGACAAAGCCATACTTCGATAGACTTTTCCTTAAAGTGTCACAATAAACAACAGAAAACCCACAACCACAACAGCATATGGTCTAAAATGGAATATCAAACTCATATTCATCTTCAAACTCAGACAATACTATTCACACTCTCAAAAGGGCGTCCGAGAAACCTCAGGTCTCAAACGACCAATGAAAACGAAACGCCATCTATGCATCCCCAACCTCGAAACGCCAAACTAAACACATCAATCCCGACAGCTCAAGACACCGTAAGGTGGTATCCTCCCAGATATGATAATTCGAAACTCCACTGGCCATCGTTTCCATCATTCATGGTCATCATCATCATGCTTCGTTTCAAAGCACAAAGATTCCCCCAAAATGGGGAACCAAATTATCATCTTTCTCCCTTGTAGAGTCCCATATCTGTACATTTTAAACGCCACTACTTCAAGTTTGAAGTGTATCTCCCACCCACGCCAGACAAAAAAACCCCCCGACATAATCTCCTCTAGTCTCCCTCGCTCTCTGTTTTGGTTTCGCCCTCGGAAACAACGCTTTTAGCACGAGTGTGCATCGCTTTATGTCTTTTCAATTGATCCAATCGATGAAATGATTTGGAGCAGCCAGGAAGATTGCAAGTATGAGCACCCTTTTCCCCATGGGTCTTTCGGTGTTTCGATAGATTCGATGACTCCGAGAAGGCCTTGCCGCAGATCTCACATTTGAGTGGTTTCTCCTTTGTATGTGTTCTTTCGTGTATGGCTATGGTTGCATTAGTATTTTCTAGTGGTATCTGATATATCAAATACTTACTACACGCGCTCTGTTGAGGAAATCTCTTGCCACAATGCTTACACTCCCAAGGTTTGTGATTGCTGTGCAGATTCATATGTTGTAATAGAGCTTGCTCAGCAGAAAAGGTTTTGCCACATACAGTGCACGTACAACATTTATCTATCCATATCAGTATGCGGTTGCTAACAAACACATCAGACTGCCATTGTGGAAGACTTACAGTTGGTGTGAGTTGCCATATGCCTCTCGAGCTTCCCTCTCTGTGAGAAGCCAGAGTTCTCATTTCCTCTTTTAGCTTCGCGCCTACAGCCCTCCCAACAACACTTGTAGCCAGTCTTTTTATCCAGACTTGCTAGATGATCTTGGACAATGTGGTCCTGAAGCTTCGAGGCGGACTCAAAGGTGCAGCCACAACTTCCTTGATTGGATGCCATCCATCTACACGTATGACCATCATCTTCAGTTGGAGGTTTTTGGCTGGCGGAGTTTTCGTCGACGTTTTGATTCACATCCTGATTTGGCTTTTGATTTGTTTCTTCGTTCGACAGCTCTCTGCTTGAACGCTCTTGGCTTGACGACATGCTCGATAAGGCAACATTTTTAAGTGCTTGTGTTGGGGGAAGTCGATTGGTTTGCGACATTTGCGAATCAACATCCTTAGAATTTTCAAGATGTTGGTGGGTAAGATGGTGCGAAAATTGATTCACATCCGTAAAAGAGATATCGCAATGTTGAAATTCACAGCGAAGCGAACCTCCGACTGGTTTGGCATGAGCTTCCTCCAAATGATTTTGGAACATAATAGGATCGGCAAGCATATGTTCCAGAGTACAATCTGGAGCTGGACATGTGATTCCTTGTTCGAGAAAATCAAAGTCAAAGCCATGATCAAGTTTCAAGTGAGCAAGTGGATCAGGTCCGATGTTGGATGGGCATGTGTTTGGTTGAATAGGACATGTAAACCCCATCTGAGGAGGAACGTGTGTTTGTAAACAATGTGCCAGTAACTGCTGGTTACTCTCCAATACTGCATCACATCCATCCCATCCACAGGAAAAGTCAAAAAGCCCATCATTGGCTGTATTCATAGATGAATTGTTCCACGAAGACTGGAAATGGTCACCGGTACCCGATAGATTTGTAAGAGACGAGTTATATGTGTTTGCATTCGTACCAAAGTGCTGTATATGTGGCGCTTGGATTGTATCATTTGGCGAAAAGGTAGTTGAGGTATTGTTGACCATTGAAGGCGTCATAGCAGTAGAGACATGGCTGGAGTCATACGTAAATCCTCCAAAGGGTTGGTAATTATTGTAGATTCTCGTACTTTCGGACATCCCATCCTTAGGTTGAAAGGAGGTTCGTGGTGGTTGTGGCACCCAAGCTGATTGAACAGAATTGTTCCAATCCTGTAACCTGGTCTCGACAGGAATGACTGTACAATCCATCTGTACTCGAGGATTTTGTGCAGTTTCGTCCGGGCATGGGCATACAGGAATATCACAAGCGCATTCTGGGCATGACTTGTCTTCTTCTGAGTTCTAGTTAGTTTTATTATTTGCAGATACTAAGTGAGTTGCAAAACGACGCCGGGATGGTAAAAATCATGCTCTATGCTTTCAGCAAGCTGTAGATAAAAACGTTTTGCGTTTCTCGAGAAGCAAAAGCAGAATAGTCACAACTCCTTGCAAAACGTAGCGAAGTTATGAAAAGATAAAGCATTGTTACATTCTCTCAAATTTTGGCGAAAATTTCAACGCACCTTGGTCGCATTCTGGCTTTGTGCATACAATGCCATCCGAGCAACTGCTACAACATGTACTTTGTGACCCTGTTTGTGAATAACATCTTTCAACCGGAGCATCGTCAAATCGGGCGCGTTTGGCTTGGGGCTGTTCTGTGGATTCTGCAGGTCTCGTACGAGCCATGGTATTGTAGGCGAAAGTGGTATTATACATCTCCTGAGGACGAGCTCGAAAGGGTTGTTGTTGCTGCTGCTGCTGCATGATTTGCGTCATTGCTGCGTATTCTGTACCGGGATTCTTGTATTGCCCGTCAGTGTACGGATTGGAGGTGTCGAATTGTTGATATTCGCTTGGAAGAACGGTGTGAGAGTTCGAGAGAAGCTGAGGATCGCCCGTCCAAAGATTAGAGGCGTCTGGATAGTCAAAGGACCCGGGTGGTACGAAGGCCTGCGATTCCATGATTAACTCGCTTTTCGATTGCGCGTGTGCTTCCAGAACCATTGTATATTGGAGGCGGGAGGTTAAGAATGATGGATGCGAAAAGTAAGAAATAGATAACGGTGGGGGTGAAGGTAACAAAGTAGTGGGGGGAGAGGAAGGCGACGATGCACCGTCGAAGCTGAGACCAAATGTGCGAATGAAGTCGAGATATCGATATTCAGTAATTGCGCGTCTGGCACAGCGACGATGGTCAGAAGCGCATGGCGTGCAATCAATGCTTCCCTAGATGTGCCATGTGCGCTTCGAGTAGTAGCGGGGAAAGGAAGCTTGAGCGAGTTGTGGGCAGGTCGGGCGCAGGGCCAAAACTTTTGTGATGTCGCGAAAAACCTTGAGCACCTTGATGGGTGGCAGGGCGAAGGGAGCCGACAGCTGGAGCATCGGGAACTACTGAGGGGAGGGGCTTCAGCTTACCTGCGAACCTATAACTAGCTGGCACTCTGGTAGCCCGTAGCTTGCGAGTGATTAATCGGCCTCGGAAGTCTTCGGTATGCCGCCTTTGGGCGCCGTGACGCCAATGATCTCGACTGTGGTGTGTCTCTAGATGAAGAACAATTTGCAGATGAGATGAAGACAAAACGACCTTCGTTGTATGATGGGAAAGGGAGCTCCCGTTGAAGGCAGTCGCTTCCTTCACGTGACTCATCGCTCCTCTGTGTAGGTGCCCCGCTTGAGATTCCCGTTTTGAGAAGTCCCGCTGCTTTTAGAGGGATGCTTATCGATTAAACATGCCTCGCAAGTCACAAACCTCGGCTTTCTGAGCGAGACTCTCCGTAAGGTGTTGAGATAACAAATGTGAGTGAATGATGGATGAAGGTGATTCACATCTAGAACAGACCCTATCATATTCACTATATTCATCCGAGAAAAAAATCCACCCTATGCATTCACATTATGACATACAGAATGGATAGCTTTCCGGGGTAACTAGGTTACACCTTCCACCCCTCGTCCAACGACCTATGATCTGCACCAAGATTCACCCAAGGCACAACCAAGCAAGTACTCCCATCAAGTGGCACATTCTCCCAACCTCAACCTTACTACAAGAATGCGCCGATAACCACCCACAACCACAACTCACTCAAATCCCCTCCACACTCTCAATCCCTCATCATACCACCCATCCCAACCATTCCCAAGAACCCCCCAAAAAAACCATGGGAAACCTCTGCGGCAAAGAATCCCCCGACCCCTTTGCGCAACCCGGCCGAACCCTCGCCTCAGCTCCCCCTCCACCAGCGAACCCCACCGCCCCTCTACCAAAGAAAGTCAGTGGTCCTCGCACATTGGGGTCGCCCGGGACAAACGTTGGAGGTGGTTCTCAGCAGCAGGAAGATGCGAGAAGGAAAGCCGCGAAAGCTGCCGAGGTACGCGCGTAAAATTGAGATATGGTATCACCGGTTGGGTAATAGAATGCTAATGAATGGGTTCTCTAGGAGAGGGCGACTGCTGGAGGCAAACCGAAGGGGAAGTTAGCAAGCCAGCTAGAACAACAGAAAAAGCAGACCAGGAGTGAAACTCTGGAGGAATCGAGTAGGGATACAAGACGCATGAGGGATGCCGACGCAGCGGCAGACACACGAGCATACAATTAAGAAGTCAGGGATATTGAATCGATTTTAGAGGCGTCCGCATAGGAGTTTGGGGTAAAGAGTTCCGTCAAGAAATTAATCATCAAGGCTAATGAACTACTTTGAAGTCTTGGCTAAGGCTTCCTATGAATGTAACTATATATACACATGCTGTTACACATAATGAGAAATCCTAAGAGCGCGGCGACAAAGTTCCACTGACTTGTAGAACTAAACCACGTTGTATCTACCACTAGCTGGTGCTCTGCCTTCAGCATCAGCCGCTGCCATGGTACCCTCCTTCAGTAATCTCATCAATTCTCTCATGGCATTAGTTACCACGACCTCAGTATCTCCCTCAACAAGAATGTATAACTTGGGATCACCACCTGCTTGTACTTCCTTTCCGGCGGGATAAAAGCTTCCTTTGGTTGTGATGGAAGTACCGGTTGCTTCCAGAATCTTAGCCACATTGGTGCGGTTGGTAACGGCCCATCTTGCTTTCTGTGGGAAGTCATTGATTTCCAATGTTGCATGGAAAGCACCAGCATCGGGTCCTTTGTTATCAATCGGTACTCCGGATCGTAGTTGCCCTGTCTTGTTGAGTCGAGCATTAATGGCATCGATAGCTGATGTAACTTTGTCGAGAGGGTTCTTAGACCCGCCAGATGAGGCAGCAGGTTCAGTTCGGTGCACAGTAATCTTACCATCTAAATCAATGCCCTTGGGCACGCCAAACAGTTGCTGTGACGGGACCGCTGCAGTGGCAGGTTGCACTGTTGATGCAGCTTTGAGAACAACATCATCATCGCCTGTCTTCTCCTCTTTATCGTCATCATCGTCACCGTCGGTCTTGTGCGTTTTTCGCTCACGATTTCTCGCGGCTTCACGCTCAGCATCAAGACGCTCCAGGCCTTTACCGCCAAAGCCTGAGCTATCTTTAGATTTACCACTCTTGACTTTGTCGCGGAAAGATTTTCGCATCTCGTTGAGCCGTTCGGGTAGTGGTTGACCAGATTGCTCCAAGGCTTTCGCGATTCCGACCGAAAACTGTTCCTGATCTTCAGTGACAAATGTGACGGCAGTTCCTGTATTACCAGCTCTTCCGGTTCGACCGGCTCTATGGACGTAATCTTCCAAATGATTCGGCGCATCAAAGTTTACTACAAGCTTGAGCTGCTTCACATCTAACCCCCGAGCAGCCACGGACGTAGCAATCATGATGGGTATGACTCCGGCTTTGAAGTCATCAATAGTAGAATCGCGATCGATCTGATCCTTTCCTCCATGAATGGACATGCACGGATAACCCTTCCGCATAAGATCTTTCAACAAGTCGTCAGCTTTCTCTTGACGGTCCACGAAAATGAGAGTACGAGCGTCTTCGTCTTTGTCGTACAGTTCTCCCAATAATTCCAGTAGACGATGGAATTTCTCTTTCTCTTCTCGAACCTCGACAATCTGAGTGATCTCAGGCGCAACGACACTTCTTCCACCCACTGTTATTTCAACGGGGGAATTGAGCGTCTTTTTGGCCAAGGCGTCCATAATACGGGGCATTGTTGCTGAGAAAAGAATGGTTTGTCTGTTGGGCCGAATGTTTGCAAAGATCTTCATTACTTGAGGCTCGAAACCCATGTCAAACATTCGGTCGGCTTCATCCAATACGACATAGGTGACACGGCGAAGATTTGTTACTCGCCCGGAGTTTGCTGCCAGTAAGTCTATCATACGACCCGGCGTGCAGACGATGATCTCAGCGCCTCTTTTCAAGTCGGCAATCTGATCTTTGATGGGGGCTCCCCCGTAAGCACAAACAGCTCGAAGTCCCATGGCCTTCAAAAATGGTTTACACTCTCGATGAATTTGAGTTGCCAGCTCTCGCGTGGGGGTCATGATCAAACCGATTGGTCCATCGGACCCTTCCAGTGGTCTTTGGTCCCGAATGTGTCGAAAAATGGGTAGCATAAAGGCAATGGTCTTACCAGATCCTGTTTTTGCGACACCAATGACATCTCTACCGGACATGATTGCAGGGATAGCCTGCATCTGAATAGCTGTTGGTCTTTCATAACCTAGCTTTCTGATAACCTCAAGTGATTGAACGTTGAGCCCACACTGTGACCATTTCTGGACAGGCTTAGGAACATCTGTACCAGAAACCTTGATGCCATCGAGTTCCAGGCGTAAATCCGCGACCTCCGCTTCAGTCATTTCAGCAAGTTCAGCAGGTTCCGTGTAGAAATTCTTGCGGAAGGGCTCAAGATCCATTTTCGCATAGTTTATAGTTGGGAGATCCTTCTTCTTTCTAGATTTACTTGCCATGGCAAGGATATCGTCTGGATCTGCGTCCATGGTCTTCAACTCGAGCTCATCGTCTCCGAACAATGCCTCGGGCTCTTGTTGACGACTCGTGCTCTGCGTCTTGTTAAACATGCCACTATTTTTTGGAGCCGCAAATGGGTCGCCCATCTCTTCCATGAATGCATCAAGGGGGTCAATTTCATCGTCATCCTCAGCGGTTGTCTCGGTATGTTTCATGGTATTGTCTGACATCTTGACATCACCAGAGGATTCTGTGGGTAGCTGAGTGCTCTCTTTTATCTCAGAGACCATACTGGCCGAGTTTTGTTCTTGAAGTCTCTCTTCGCGCTTCTCTGCCGCTGCTCTTGCGGCTGCTGCCGCCTCTTCTTCAGTGCCAGCATCTTCCATATCCACATCGTCGTCTTCCTCCCCTTCAACATCGTTAGCGAGCGCAGTATCCTCATCTACTATGTTTGCCAGAGGTAGGGTCGGTAGCTTTTCTAATTTCTTCCTTCCTTCATCATCCTCGCCAAAATCGAAATTCCGTTTAGACGACGACTTGTCTGTTTCATTGGTTGGTTTTGTACTTATGCCGAATGCACTAAGGTTTGCTCTAGCCTTGGGTAATGCCGATGCTGCGAAATAGTTTTAGCTTCTAAACTTGTGATTTGTAATGGGAAGGGGCACATACCGGTGGAATTGCTGTTGAAAGCTGTTGGCTTCTTGTCAGCTTGTAAACCTTTCACCGAAGAATTCAAGGTAGCGGACGCTTTTGTCAATTCCTTGAAGGGTACATCCTTCCCCAAAGTACTAGTGCTTGTAGAATTTGCCACGGCCTTTTTTGCAATGGCTTTCGGATCGAACTTCCCTGCGTAAGGAACTGGAGATGCAATGCTTTTGGGAGTCTCGGGTGATGCTGGAGAAGCAACCGCAGGAGATCCATTCGATTTCTGGTCTATGTCATCTAGAAGCTTTCGCGTTCCCCCAGCCGCAAGATCCTTTTCCTTACGCTCCTTGTCCTCTGCCATTTTCTTCTTCCATGCTTCTAGTTTAGCTAGCCTTTCAGCCTTCTTATCGGCCTCAGTCTGCGCAGGTGGGCCAGGGGCTTTCGGAGCCTGCAATTTTAAATCAGTGCGCTGTTCTGATGCAGAATTGAGACTTCTTACCTCGCTGGTGCTAGCATTATCGGCTCTGTTCGGGCGGTTTCCACGATTGTCATCACCTCTGCTACGGGGCCAAGAGTCAGTAGAGTCCTCGCGGCGCCTTCGTGCCCTATCATAAGAGCCTTCTCGCCTGTCACGATAATCCCGACTTCTTCTACGGCGTCTGTCTGGAGACCGTTCTCTCTCGCTATATCGGTCCCTGCGATCCCGAGAACGGTCCCGTCTGCCACTTCGATAATAATCGTCGTCTCTTCGATCCAGAGAGCGGTCTCTCCGGCGCGGTAAGTCACGATCGCGGTGTCGGCGCTGTTCATATAATGGTTTAATGGGTGTTCGTGATAGTGTTCTGTGGGTAGGGTCTTACATCTAGACTCCGCGAGCGACTCCGCCGCCGAGGTCCTCGCATATCATCTCTGCGGTCGCGGTGGCGCCTTATATCCTCGTCTCTCCGAGGTCTTTTTGAGGAGTGCTGACTTCCTGTTGGCGATGGTGAGCGAGTGTCCCTGTGGCGAACCATGGTTGCCTCAGTTGATGGCAGAAATACTGGCAAGAGAAATCACAGCCTGTCGAGCCCGTTCAAGGCCAGTCTCAAAGGGCGCTGCGTGGACCGACTGATAGATGGAGGCTGATGCACAGGACACGCGTTGTAAAGAGGCTGTATACTGGATACTGGATACTGGATACCGTTATAGGTATCGTACCTAAAATAATGGTGTTGTGGGAGGTGTGTGTGGTTAAGGGAGGTACCGAATACCTAGGTAGGCAAGGTGTGAAGTGCATACGGGAAAAGATTGAAAGTATGGGGAAGGCTTGTACGATCCGCAAGCTTTCCGCGCTAGGCCTATCTCGTGCTAGCTCAGCCTTGAGACGAAGCTTCCGTATCAAATTGAAGGGGCAGGGAACGCGACCACGACAACATCCATCAATTGACGAGTGCACCACAAAGCCCACACAAACCCGTGCAGCCACATACTGGGGCACCTATACACTACATTCCTCCTTGGCCTTGATCGCCGCCACCACCTTCGCCATGTTGTCTATCATTGGGCGTGCCGCCATTCGTAGGAGCGGAGGTAATGGATCAACAATTAAATTCGTCTCGCGCAATTTGACCAACGTCTCGCGCACCAGCTTTCTCAAGCATTTTGCTCCTCAATCCGCGAGAACTTTCGCCACAGCCAAGGTCTCTCTGAAAGTAAAGGCAACCAAAAGTGCGACTGCGAAGCCCAAAACCAAGGCGGCGCCAGCAAAGAAGACTCCAGCAAAGAAAGCTCCAGCGAAGAAGGCTGCGAAGAAGGTTGTGAAGAAGCCCGTGAAGAAGCCCGTGAAGAAGAAGGCAAAGCCAGCCGTCAAGAAACCCAAGGCGAGAAAGGCTCTCACTCCCGAGCAAAAGCAGAAGATCGAGAATAAGAAATTGAAAGCTCTGTTACTGTCCCCGCCAACACTCAAGCCCCAAAGCGCCTGGAAGATTGTCATTTCTGAAGCTGCTGGGAAGGGAACTACAGTCGAAAACTTCTCAAAAGAGGCCAGCGCTCGATACAAATCACTAAGTGCAGCAGAACTCGAGGTAAACATGCAATCGGGATACTCTGACATTGACTGATCGTCTTCTACAGGCCTATCAACAGCAAGCGAACGAGAACAAGCTCGAGAACCAAAAGATACATGCTCGCTGGTTAGAGTCTCTCACTCCCGAACAGGTCAGACTATCCAACCAAGCTCGTCGCAACTTGCAAGCAAAGAAGGCAATCAAAACCCACCTCCTTATCACAGATTCACGTGCTCCTAAACGCCCGCAAACAGTGTACGGTCTCTACACGAAGCAGAGATGGGCCTCTGGGGATTTCAAAGGCGTTTCAGTTATTGAAGCAACTCGACGACTCGCTTCGGAATTCCGTGCACTCTCTGAGGCAGAGAAGAAGGTTAGTGACTATCAGGCTCACATTTGACAGTCAGGCTAATCAAAACAGCCATTTTTGGACCAATCCGAGGCGGACAGGCGACGATACAAGGCAGAATACCTGACGGTGTATGGTCGTGAGCTCGGCGCAAAAAAGTGACGGCTTCATTCACGAGCAATGTACAGCGTAAATTCTCACTTGTACTTGTATTGGGCTCGGTCCTATGGGCAGCAATTCAGACGAGATGGCGCATCAGTTCTCACATGCTAAGTGGAAGATCCTTTTGTAACTACGTACCTTCTATCGCGCGGGTTTAGGGGGTCTTGCATGTCCTGTTGCTCAGAACATGTCCTTCTCTGTCGAGGCATTTCTTTTTTTTTGTATCGATAGTTGATTCTCGCCTAATTTAGTGGCAGACCAGCAATACCCGAGTCAGAAATTCGATCTTGTTTTTAATGTTTTGTCTTCCCATGCGGTTGGATTGTTGATAGGATGCTCCACTATTGAACATGTCAGCGTTGAATGAACCATGAAGATCGAAACTACTTTCACGCAGTCTCCATCAATGTGTGCAGTGATGGACTCCATGATAAGATATTAGAAAGGTCTTCTGGTCTGTTTAAACCGAGCTAATTCAGAACTCGGGCCTAGAAGACGGAGGATTATTCATGCGTTCGCCGGTATCCAACGCAATATTCCTGTATGCAGGAATTTCTGGATACGCGAATTTACCATAGGAATAGAGCTTTCTTTGCTGCCGAGTTCTATTACCTTGGAAAGCTTGTGGATCGCTTAAAGTCATCCTCGAATCCATGTTGAGCTCATCATACACCTACAAGGGGAGGGAGCGATAGTGAAATCACCGACTCTTGAGTTCAGCTTGTTTACGTTTGGGGGCGGGTGGTAATTTTTATCGATATTTTGATATTCGCAAACATATTTAAGTATGAATGTCCCCTCCGCCCTCTTATTAAAACGAGATAGCGAGCTTTTCCCATCCATCTGGTTTGATTCCCACATAGGGCAGTGCTCTCCAACCAAAATCCGATTTTCAAAAGGCTCCCTAATAGTAGTACTGTAATCTTACACAATTTCCCCTAAATTTTTCTCCCACAAGAAATAACGCCCTCGCCCAAAAAACAATCTCGAAATTCAAACTCCGCCTCATTTGGCAGGGGCAGGAGGAGTAGTGGCGTCAGCTCTATACCAATTCGCCTGGTCATCTCCAAGACAGGTGCCTACGGTTACGGGTCTGTAGCCTCTGGCGGCGATACCTTGCAGCATGTATTCTGTGAGAACTTCGGCGGTCGTGTTATGGATGTCGTGGGCGATGAGCAGGAATTCATTGGTGGCGGGGGACTTCCCTTCGAGTGGTTGATCGAAGAGATTCTTGGCGTTCTGGATGAGTTCTGGGGTGTTGTTGAGATAGTCTGATGTATCGAGGTCCTAAGTGATGTGTTAGTGGATTTTGTGGATTGGTATCTGGGGGATCTGAGCTTACGAAATAGGTGATGTGGTAGCCTAGTTCTTCCATGTCTGCTTCACATCCACATTCTGTTATATGTGAGTTTTATGCTTGGTTGCGAGGTCTAGGGGATGAACTTACCAGCGTTACAGCTGGAATATGGAGGTCTCATGTAGGTGGGGATTACACCGACGACATTTCTGACTGCCATTTCGAGCTTGTACATCTCGTTTTTGCGTTCCGCAGAAGTGATGTTGCAAAGATCAGCATGCGACCAGGAGTGAGATGCGATTTGATGACCTTCTTCAAACATACGTCTAGAGAAATTATTGAGCTAAGTTCCAAGTTGGAGGAAAGGGGGCTCCAGAACTTACTTGAGGAGGCCTGGCCAGGGTGTGGATGGATCGTCGATTGCTCCCTTGCCTATAATCGCACTTGTTAGTCTTCTCTATTTTCTACTTTCACTATGTGTTAAACATACCAATGTTGTTTCCAGTAACGAAGAAAGTTGCCTTAGCGTTGTATTGTTTTAACAAATCCAAAACACGTTCGGTGTAGATGTACGGTCCGTCATCAAAAGTAAGAGCCATTGTACCTGTTTCCGTGCAGTCGTAAATGCCTGCTGATCCGTAAAGAACATTTCCTGCTTTAGGTCGAGGAATTGAGGAAGTATTGGTGCCGGTTGGGAGGGCATTGGCATCACAAGCAGGCCCAAAGTTGAATTGACAGTCAGGAGCTTGGCAAAAATCTTCAAGTTTATCAGCATCAGTGCTGGAGGGAACCAAAGTGAAAAAGTACCTAAACCAGTGCCACAAAATCCAGCACCAGAACAACACTCCGTCGGGCCGCAACTTCCTTTTCCTGGACCGCACTCTCCACCACTGGGTGTAGTAGGTGGTGGTGATTCAGCTTCTGGTGTCTTGCATGTTCCAAATGGACTTTGACAACCTCCTCCAACGAGGCAATAGGCATCTGTGGAACCGCAGAATCCATTCGATGAGCAACATGGAAGTTCGGTAGGACATGTATAAGCGTTGGGCGTTCCTCCAGTTCCTTTCGTTCCGCAAGTATTGTCTGGTGAGACTGCCCGTCTGGATAGTGGAAAGTCTAGTACTCCGGCAAGAGCAGTATTAAGCCCGCAGGCCATGATGGCCACGGAGGTAAAGGAATGCATATTGGTCACCTGAATGTGACAGAGTCAAGACTTTGGGCTGTGGTAGAAATGGGGACAGCGAAACGAGAGTAAGTTGGTTAATCAACGAAAGTACGCTTGGTGATCAAGCTTAAAGGACCAAAAACAACAGCGACGGTGAGGTATAAAAGAAGGAAATGGATGACATGGCAATTTGCTGGGCCGCACTCCTTGAGGTCTCCCACTCGTATCGCTGATTTCCAAGAGGAAAGGCTATGAAACTTCCATCCTTGCGCCTGCTCGGGACGAGAACCATCATCCACAACTCACAGATCGCCCAAAGAGACCTCCCAGCCTCCGCTGCCTCCCTAACTGAACCCGCCCACAGCACGGCATGTTAATGTCCGTAAATGGAATCCTGCAGCGACTCAGGTATCTTGGCCTATGGTGATCTTCCTTAGCGAAGGGGATCTGCGTGTGTGGGGATATTTGCGGCTGTTGAGCGTTTCAGGGGTTCCTTATTCTGAATTTCTGACCATTCTGCTTGAAGGATTTGCCGAGCATGTCAAATTTGGAGCAATGAAATAGGGCTGTAAGCGCAAAGCTCGTTGCTTTTGAGGAGGTCGGGGTCATAACACCATCATAACACCACCTGCATGATTTGTCGATGTTGCTTGACGTTGCTTCTGCAAGACAAGTGTTCGTCGTGGAGAGTGGTTAGTGGATGAAAATAAATGGCCTTGAATTGTTGCATTGCCTTGATTCCCGTCGTGCATCTAAACGGCTTGGTCTATTTATGCTTGTTTGATGTTTGCCGTTCCTTCACACTTTCTTTCCCCTTGGCGATCCATCGCTTCCACCGGGCTTTCCAATTCCAAAAATTACGACCACGTGATACGGTACTGGATTTCTGTTTTGATTCCGGTCTGTTGCATTTCGCGATTCTCCAAACGTGTTCTGAACGTGTTTCACACGTGGAGCTGTAGTTAACTCTTGAACAGGATTGGCGAGAAGAAGACGAGAATGGGGCAATGAAAATCTTGAAAATCTTGCCACACGTGATGATCTAGTGGATGCAGGCGTGCTGCCAATCCCTATTTTAAGATATCATCTCACCGACGATCTGACGATCCAAGCGAACCAAGTCAAGGTTCCAAATTGTCTTCATCCAAACTCCTAATTCCTGACATGTGCTGACATCTCTGTCATTTCTGGAGCAGGTTTACCAAATTATCATCGTTCATTCCTCCAAGAATTCCCATTTTATACGAAGTACAGAGTACGTAAAACAGGAAGAAATAGGTATTCCTGACTCGTATCACGGTTTGGCGTCAAAAATACACAGCGTTCCCTCATTTGTACCTTCGAAAACTGGTGTCTGATCTTGATGAATCCTCCTTGCGGTTTCTGAAGACTCCATTCAAGCAGGCGAGACGACGAAGGAAAGGATATGCGACTTTGTAATTTCTGAATTGGTGTAGGTCTCTGAGTCGCTCTACTTGTACTCGCTTGGCACTCACTGCACAATACGAGTATGATCATACAATTTCGATCCATCCTCTTAAATCGCGTATTTCATCCTCCCATTGTCGTACGTGTGCACATGTGACGGGAATGTATGGTATTTTTCTCCCTGTCCAAAGTCCAAATTCCATGCTACCACAACCCATCCCCAAACTGAGGGCTTCTTCTTCTCCCTGGGTTTTGCCGCCTATGTGGTTTACATGTACATTTGAGTGAATTGTTTATGCATTCCGCTTTCTTAACGTCCTGTCATCAGTAAACCCATTAGTAAGTGTCCCATTCTGCTGCCATGAAGTTCCAAGAGAAGAAGAGGTGGGGTAGAGATACGGAATTTTTCCCCACATCGCTCTTTACAATCGGCGGTATTGCATGCCAAACCAAGAGAGGCGAGGGCGACAAGGCAGAAGAGAGTAAAGACCTTCATGGCGTTGCGATATGGGAGAAAGTGATGTTTGTTTCTGACTTTACTTCTGGAATTGATATATCGCTGTGAAAAGAAGAATTGAGTTATGCTTTCATATACCTAGGTAGCTTGTTATATAGAGTCCATAAACTTTCGACTAACAGCTCACATCAGGGATACACCAAGTCTGCGCGTCCTTGACCTTACTCTGCTACTCGCTTCTAAGTTTAACTGAATCATTCAGTACAGTAAATATAAAGCGATTTCGTCCAAAAATTCCATGGGCTACGGTTCAATTGGCTATCTAAGCATATTTGCGTACATCGAATATTTCCTTTGGTAAATGCGGAATTCTTATGTTCGCAGGGTGATTGTTATTCCACAGACGTGAAGAGGGCCAGAATCATTACAGGATATGGTGCCTCGTCCCTGGAGGTTCAGCAGTCTACTTGGAATAGACTTTCGAGTTGGGTTTCGCGTTCACACTTCGTCCCTGGCACGATGATCGAAACTTTTCTAGTGAACTCTAGCTTCAGTAGAGTTCAGACCAAAAGCCCCCGGAAAGGGTACATTTATTACCAGTATGCCTGGGACGAAGTAAAGCTGCCGTCTGTCATGCAGATACCGGTACTTGAGTACCGGTTTCGGGTTTTTGGTTTTACTGTTCCCATGCTACCGGTATTTGAACACAAAGCAAGCTAGTTTGGACGAAAATATCCCTAAAGATAAATGTTATTCTGTAAGCTAAGTCTTGTTTACTTCTATTGGAGTATTTTGGTCAGAACTTAGATATACCTAAGCTTTGAGCTTTTTGTTTTACAGAGTACGGTACCTTTCGTGTACCGCGGTCGTCTGATTATGTATAACTATAAGATCGATTTCAGGATAGTATTCATAGGGCTCCTATCAGGGAAGTTCAGGAATTGGTAACCATGGACTTCGAGCACTGTGCAGTATCCTATCTGGTTACTCAGACGCTTGTAAAAACATGAAATTCTACAAAGTTAGTGTTGAGATATTTACTACTTACTTACTATACACAAGTGGTACTAGCATTTTTTCAGGGTATCTAATACCTACTTATATCTTAGCATAGGTAAAATATATCTCCCTTCTTTCTCGCAATAGTTACTTATTTACATGTTATAGTGTGATGATTCGCTTCTTCGAGCTCCATTCAACCAATGGAAGTAGGAGAGTAGATGTATTATTACTATTCGTCAATCACGAATTTCCATACTTGATAGTAACTAATGCAGAGTAGATAAGTAATCTTGCAACTTGACTTCAAATGTCGTCTGAATAAACAATGCAGCAAGAATTGTAGAGAAAAGCAAGATTGAATGGAAACGAGACACGCATAAGGTATGTTTGTGGCGTTGAGGCGAAGCGAGACAGAAGGAAAAGGGGAGGGGGAGGGAAAGTAAAAATTTACAGATCACAAGTGTCCCTCTGACTTGTAGAGGTTCCGAAACGTTTCATCTTTAGAGAATAAAGTAAACTTGGTATCGCTTAGATCGTTAGTCATATCTCATGTATATACAGCAGAAATGGAAGAAGTCCTTCCTTCTCATTGACCCCCTCCAGTATGTCCAAACCACCCAAACATAGCCCTCCACTCCACACTCCTCTACGCCACCAAATCCGCACAATTCCCACTGCCTGGCACCGCACTCTTCCCCACATCCACAAAAGCCCCCGTAGCATTATTAATCGCCAGCCCCTGCAAGCCATCCAACCAGACCTTCGCCATCTTCTTGAATCCCGAGGCCTTGGGATGAACCCCATCAACCAAATCACTGGCCGTAACCACAGCACGCATATCCACCACCTTAACCCTGAGTCCTTTCTTCGTCCTCTCCGCCACGACCCCCTCAATCGCACTGTTGTAAGTATCAGTCGCAGCATTGTACTGCGTAACCCCCGCCCCGAAGCCAATGATCTTCGCGACTAGTACCGCAGCATCGGTCTTCTCAACGACGCTATCGATCATGGCGCCTAGTCTCTTTGGTGCATTTGCGAGATCGGTGTTGTGTATTATATCGTTGGATCCCGCGTGAATGAGGACTACATTCGGACTTGGTTTCTGCGCGAGGATCTTGGAGGCGGACGTGAGGATTTGGGTTATCTCTTGTCCTGTGTAGCCTTCGTTGGCGTTATTGGTCCAGTCCCCGTTGGTGAGTGAGCCGATGTAGGATACTGGTATACCCGCGGTAGAGAGGGAGCATTGCAGGAAGCGCCGGTACGAGTTTCCCGGGTTCTCGTTGAAGCCGAATGTTATGCTGTCGCCGAGGGCGAGGATGCGGAGTGCGGTTTGGGGGGAGAGTGTTGTGCTGTTTGGTGAGGGGGCGGGAAGCGCGACTTGGGGTTGTTAGATGGATTCAGTTTCTTTGGATGAAGTGGGGGAAGGGGGTTGTTTACGTACGGACTGGATAGAGTAATAAACTGCTCGCTGAAAAGACTTTGTACAGAGAATTTAAAATCATGATAGGAACTACGCCTTCTCCAAGGAGAGGAGACCGACGCGTAAAGGATGGACAGGAGATGGGGTGAAGAATGAGTGTGATGGAAGATCAAAGCGATTTGCTGGATGATATGATACAGCCGCTCGCAGCGCTTTGGCACTACTTCCCTTCCCTATATATACTAGAAGACGAAAAGAGAAAGACTGGAGAAAAGGAAAGGCAATACTTCTACGCAATATAAGTGGAGTACCCTCATTCTGCCTGGGGGGGATCGATGGTGGGTTAAATGTCCACGGCAGTAGAATTTGGAAGGTTACCCTCCGACGGGAAATGCGAAGGTATTTCTTTTTATCCATCCAACTGAGGCTAAAGTAGGGCTCAGGCGCTGAGATGAAACTCCTCTTGTAAGCATACCCTTTGCGCGGTCCGGACAGATGTATGTAAGGCATGAGTGAGGGAACAGGTATATCGCTGTAATAGATTACGATATCCCGACGTCATTCTAAGGTGGAAAGGTTCTGATGGACAGATGGAGGTGGTGGTGTCGCTTAATCCCTGTTTTGATAAGTGGTGGAAGAGAGGCTGCGGGAGGGTGGTGCGGGAGGG